GTGTGGCGGCACCACTTACCAGCCGCACAGCCCGGTACTGTGCCAGGTGCAGTCGCTGTACCGTTTTCAAAGGCTGCTCCTGTATAGCACATTGCAATAGTCCAGTCTGTGGACTACTGCAATGAGATTGTTCCCTATAAACTGAATGAATTCCTATGAATGATGCCTCCAACAGAGGGACTCCATTGCACAGTCACTTCTTCAAGATGTGCTGTAATAGTTCTCTCATGAGCAAAATGTTGTCCAAGCAACAATTGCCAAGAGCCATGGATACGGCTGATATATTCCCAAGAAGGGCATGAGTAGCTGCACTCTTTATTCAGGTCTTTGAGAATCTTTTCCCTAATTACTTTATTATTTGACTGCTTGATTTTTGCTTTTTAAGTTGATGCTGTTGCCGTTGACATCCTGGGACCTGGGTTTTTATGTTTGGGGCACTTGCTGGGTTATGGGGTGGGTTTTTTCTTTTCTTCCTGATATTTTCATTTCACATACACATTCTGTTGTAAGTTGCCCAGAGTAGTGGCCTGCCACTAGATGAGTGGGGTGGAAGTTAAATAAATAAAAACTGCTATTGCGTCTTATTCTATTATTAGGTTTCGTAGGGTTTAAAAGATTTAACGACAGTCATACCTTCAATGGAGTAGTGTCCATTTCTTTGACATTTTTATTCATCTCCATAGTCCTGTTTTCATTACAATTTAATTCAACACTATTTAGAAAAGAATACAGCACAGTTATGGACCCATATTTTCCACATGTAAAATCTCCTCTGATATTTGGAAAAAACAAACCTGGTCTTGACATTTGGAACTGTTTCCCCAGTATTCTTAATTTGGAATGATTCATCAAGTTGAAAATCTCTCCCAAGATCAAAGAACAGAGCATACAGAATGACTGTTTCATACCAAAAATAGCCATGTGGCATTGTAAGACTTAATTAGTTTTTATTTTTCATAAGCTTTCACGTGTCTCAGAACACTTCTTTGGATGTGTGCTTAGGCACACAGAAGCTTATGAAAAATAAAAGCTAGTGAGTCTTATACACGCAGGTGCTACATGACTACTTTTGGTATAAGTTATAAAAACAGATTAACATGGCTACCTGCTACATAATAGAAAGATTACCATATTATACCTCTGTTCAACTGAAAGGCAGTCCATCTGAGTCACTTCAGAAATTTCTCGAATTTTTGGTAAACTCTTTTTAATGACATTTCCAATCTTTCCTATATAGAAGGAGATAATTTATTAAAAACACAAGTTGACAAAGCTATGAAAGATAATAATTCAAATGTTAACATCTATCTTATAAATTGAACTGGTTAGGACATGATTTGAGAGCTGATTTAGGTTTTTGAAGTTGATTTAAAATCATATGGTAGTCACATGGTTTTTGAGCCAGTGTGTGCATCCTCTTAAGAAAACATTTAATCTGTTTTTAAACTGTGTTGTATATCTGTTGAGGAGGCTACATGGGCTTTTTAAATCATTACAACTGAGTATTTGTTCTATGGCCACCTGCCCTCACGCTGGCCACCTGCCACCACTGTTGTGTTAATTTTATATTTCAAAATTTTCTTTCCAACTGACTTATTGAAATGCCAGTGTTACATATTTTAAAAATAATAATAAAACAGAGGTTTCCTACAGCCAATGGAAGCCAGACAGTAAAATTTTAAAGTGACAGCAGCCTTCCCTCCTTGAAAACATCTGAGTAAGTTTGCCCAACAAAGACACACACAGGGGAGTGAGGCAACCAGTGTAGGCAAGAGGGAAAGCAAGAGAAATTGACAAGATATTGACAAAGCCCCACAGCTTCTAGACTTGCAAAGGAAGGAGCATTTTCCCTCTCTCTGGCTGCGTTTTTTTAATGTATTTCAAACTAGCACATCACTATATCAATATAACTGAGAGAAAAAAATTAAACAGATCAGATCGTAGCCTGGCACAGGTGCACAGATGGACACACAAACACAGAGATAAAGACAGAGAGCGTGAAACCCATTGGAGAAGGAGAGGAACGGTGCACAGATGGACACACAAACACAGAGAGAGTGAAACCCATTGGAGAAGGAAAGGAATGCAAACCAGTGAGTGGTGAGAGTGGCAAACCCTAGGGACACAATTTACACCAACAGAGGCATTCTCATATGCCAAAATGATTCAAACTAAATCAATTTCACAAATGAATTAAAATAAACAACCCTCCTGCATCCAGTAAAACTCATTTTCTGACCAAAAAACACACTTCTCAGGAAAATCCTAGCTTCCATGTGCATCATGTAGCCACCTCTTTAAAAATCAATTTAAAATATGCTAAATCCAGTTCAAATACTGCTTTTTTCCTAGTGTAACTGTGCTCTTAGACAATAACCCAGAATTCACACAAACTACTTTAATGTAGAAAGAGTTTAGGTATCTGCCTGTTTTCTTTTTATTTCAAAGGTATTTTTTATTAAACTACTTTTAATACAAGGATCTTCAACCCTGCTCTTCAGTGATAATTAGTTCCTTTTCCAGTTACAAAGAGTACATTACATTATAATTTCAATTAGATAGGATACTTTCATTCCGTTGTCTCACAGAAGATATCACACGGTTCAAGTTCTGGTTCATGCCAGGCCTTGTGCCACTGCATTCAGATTTGTTAGGAAAAGTGATTAAAAATAATGTACAATAAAACAGTACAGTTACTACAACGCTTGCCATTATGGTAAAAAAATAGTTATTACAGAATCATGCAATTAGACAGTAACTACATGAATTGTAATACTAAAGGTATATTATGATGCAGTTTTAAAAGTATCTGTTTAGGCTCTCCTTGTGAAGTTCTGTGGAGCTGAGAGGGGAGCAGACTTGCCAGTGACAAAGGCCGACACATGCTGCCCTCCAACTCTTCAGTTCCAGGACAGTATATGTTAATTAGAGATGGGGGTATTCGTATACGCATATCCCCCCACAGGTGGAAATAACAAGGGTCTGTCCCCTCACCATTCCACTGTGGAGGCGGGATGACAAACCTCTCTGCCAGGTCACAGAGCGGCTAATCCACTGCAGACAACGACGCGATAGAAAGGCTCCGCCGAGTGCACGCTTGCGGCGGAATGATGAGTGGACAGTCCGGCCCCAGGGGGCCAGACCCTTGTTATTTCCACCGCTGGGGGGGATATCTGTATTCATATACAAATACCCCCCTCTCTAATGTTAATTCATGTTCAGCAAATTCTCTCCAAGACCAGCACATTTTGATTACTCCATACAGGAAAAAAAAAGAGTCAGCTAATCCCAAAGATTTACAGCACTGAACAAATGAAAACCCACAAAGATCATTACCATACAGGTTTGGCTCTTTAAAATGGAAATAATTCAAAAGATCACCCTAACAGAAATGTAACATCAAGGAATATATTCAACTCTCCAGAGATGTGCAAAAACTTTGTTTAGCTATTTTATTGCCATCAGGTTTTACTCACCCTAACAGAAATGTAACATCAAGGAATCTATTCAGCTCTCCAGAGATGTGCAATAACTTTGTTTAGCTCTTTGATTGCCATCAGGTTTTACTACCAATTGTTACATACAGCACTGATGTTACCTGTCTGTCATGGGTTTGGAGGGAAAGTTCCATCCTATGGGGAGTGGAAGGCGGGACATCAGGAGGAGGGGCTGTACTGTATATATATGTGGAGCTTGTGTGGAGAAGTTAAGGAGAGAAGAAGCAGCTGGGAAGAAGAAGCTGGTGTGGGAGTCTGTGTGTCAGACAGGGTACTACTGTGTGTCAGTCAGTACCAACCTGATAGGTTCAGGTGTCT